TCAACTGTAAGATTAGAATAATAGTATCAACCTTACAATGTATGAGGATCAAAATGATGCATATAAAGTACTTACTATGATGCCTGGACTTCTTAGGTGCTCAGTAAATCGTGTTCACATAAATAGGACCAACTAGGCATATGGTGGGTGTTAGCCAATACAATTTTTTTCACTTACCCTACCCCCAATCTCTTTGATACTAGTTCCAAAAGCAATATAAGCTCAAGGCATAAAACTTTTAAAATACCCTTATTATGCAAAGGGAACACAAATTATTTATATATATCTACCAATACACATACAAGTTTAAAATTTATATCCTACTAGAGGCCCAGTGCACGAATTTGGGGTTCCTTGGCCTGGCCAGCAATCTGGGCCAATCGGGGCTGGGGGTGGTGGTGGAGGGACCAGAGGAGGTTGGCTGGCTGCAGGAGGTTGGCTGTGGTAGCACAATGACCATCAGAGGGCAGCTCCTGTGTTGAATTTCTACCCCCTGCTGGTCAGTCCACATCATAGCCACCGGTCAACCAGTCATTCAGTCGACCAGTCATAATGGTCGCTTAGGCTTTTATATATATATAGATTGCCAAAACTGTCTTAAAGCCTACCTTTTTACACTTGGTGATATCTGTAATGATTTTTTCTAGTGAATAGATATACTTTTACAATAAAATTTGTAATGCTGCATAGTATTCTACTATGTATTTATAAAAGAACTAGAGGCCCGGTGCATGCCCTGGAGGGGCGTCCCTCAGCCCGGCCTGCCCCCTCTCACAGTCCGAGAGCCCTCAGGCATGGGAGGTGACCCGGAGATCAGGGGAAGGCGATGTCCCCATCATACCTCTGCTGCTGCCACTGCTGGCAGCACAAGCCTTGGCTGGCTCTGGTTACCTGAGCCTTGGGAGGCCCTGGGTGATTGGGGGGCAGAGGGCACTGGGGTGTTCTGGAGGCAGGTGTGCAGAGTGATGGGGCTGAGGGGACTGGGTGCCACCTTCTTGTGGCTGTGGGCACCACCATCTTTGAGGGAGGGGGCAGTCAATTAGTATATACCCTCCTTATTGGCTGTGGGCACCACCATCTTTGAGGGTGGGGCAGTCAATTAGCATATTCCCTCTTTATTAGATAGGACTAGAGGCCTGGTGCACAAAATTTGTGCATGGGTAGAGTCCCTAGGCTGGCTGGCATTCAGGGCCAATCAGGTTCCCTGCCTCCCCACCTCCACCTCCTCCTTACCTCACCACCCATGTGCCGCCACCATAGGGTCCCGCCCACCTCCCTGCCTCCCTGCCTCCTCCTTCCCTCACTTCCTCAGCACCCCGCCACCACTGCTGGTCACCCGCCATGTTCCACACCACCCCCTGGTGGGCAGCGCATGTCATAACAAGTGAATTCTCTGTCTCCGGGTTGAACTCCTGAGGGGACTCATTGCATATTAGCCTTTTACATGTAGACTAGAGGCCCGGTGCATGAAAGTGTTGCACTGGGGGGTGTCCCTCAGCCCAGCTTGCGCCCTCTCCAATCTGGGACCCCTTGGGGGATGTCCCACTGAGGGATCAGGTCTAAACTGGCAGTCAGACATCCCTCTCACAATCCGGGACTGCTGGCTCCCAACTGCTTGCCTGTCTGCCTGCCTGCCTGATTGCCCCTAACCTTGTCTGCTTGCCAACCTGATCACCCTCAAACAAAGTCAATTTCAGTGCCTGATTATTTAATTCTGTCACAGGTTAAAAGTAAAAAGCGCTGACAGGCAGACAAGTGAATGGCAAGCAAAGAAAAAAAAAAAAAACTACTTCCAGGCCAAGTCCCCCCAAAATACCATCCCCTGCTGGCCCGGTCGCCCCTAACTGCCCTCCCCTGCAGCCCTGTTTGCCCCCAACTGCCCACTCCTGCTGGCCCAGTTGCCCTCAACTGCCCTCCTCTGCCAGCCCAGTTGCCCCCAACTGCCGTCCCCTGCTGGTCCGGTTGCCCCCAACTGCCATCCCCTGCTAGCCCAGTTTCCTCTAACTGCCCTCCCCTGCTGGTGGTTGCCCCCAACTGCCCTCTCCTGTTGGCCATCTTGTGGCGGTGGGTGCCACCATCTTTGAGGGTGGGGCAGTCAATTAGCATATCCCCTCCTTATTGGTTGTGAGCACCACCATCTTTGAGGGCAGGGCAGTCAATTAGTATGTTTCCTCCTTATTGGCTGTGGACACTGCCATCTTTGAGGGCAGGACAGTCAATTAGCATATTCCCTCCTTATTGGCTGTGGGCGCTGGCATCTTTGTGATGGCATGAGGGCCAATTAGCATATTCCCTCTTTATTAGATAGGATTTACTGAACTAAATACCTATTACTGTGCATTTGGGTATTTGTTTTTTGCTATTATAAATAACACTTCAATGAGTGAATTCTTACATGCATTGTCATACACATCATTCCTGAGGATAAATTCGTATGGGCATAATTATTGGGCCAAAGAATACGCATATTTGAAAGCTTCTGATGTGTAATGCCAAGTTACCCTCCATAAAGCAAAATTCTCTAATGTGGATATTTTTCATTAGGTTGGGGGGTGTAT